AAAATCATACACCATGATCAAACAGGATTCATTACAAGGGTGCAAAGCTGGTTCAATATACACAAATCAATTAATATAATTTATCACATCAACAAGAGCAAGGATAAGAACCACATGATTATCCAACAGCCCTTTATAATGAAAGCTCTGGGAAAACTAGGAATCCATGGAACATTCCTCAATATAATAAAGCCTATGTATGACAATCCTACATCCACCAGTGTACTTAATAGTGAAAGCCATTTCCTCTAAATTCAGGAATGAGACAAAGATGTCTGCTTTCTCCACTCCTCTTTAACTTAGTATTGGAATGCCTAGGTGGGGCAGTAAGACAAGATGCAAACATAAAGGGGATCCAAATAGGGAATGATGAAGTAAAACTCTCCTCTTTGCAGATGACATGACCTTGTATTTAAAGAACCCCATTGATTCCACCCTCAAGTTACTTGAGCTGATCTAAAACTTTGGCAAAGTAGCAGGGTATAAAATTAACCCTCAGAAATCAATGGCTTTCATGGACGCCAATAATGAGAAGAGTGCAGCTGAAATTAGGAAAGCAACCCCTTTTGTAGTAGCTCCACAAAAAATAAAATACGTAGGAGTTAACTTAAGAGGTGAAGGACCTTGATGACAAAACTTTAAAAGCCTGAAAAAGGAAATTAAAGCAGAACTAAGGAAGTAGAAAAATCTCCCATCTTCCTGGATTGGGAGGATTAACATCATGAAAATGGCAATACTGCCAAAGGCTATATATAAATTCAATGCGATACCTATCAATATCCCAACTTTATTGTTCAATGAAACAGAAGAAGTAATCCAAATATTCACATGGAACAATAAAAGACCCCAGATAGCAAAAACAATTCTTAGCAGAAATAACAGTGCTGGAGGAGTATCAATTCCAAATTTCAAACTCTACTACAAAAATATAGTAATCAAAACAGTTGGTATTGGTACAAGAACAGACCTGAGGACCAATGGAATAGGACTGAAGACCCAGAACTGAACCCACAGACCTATAGCCACCAAATCTTTGACAAGGGAGCTAAAAATATAGAATGAAAGACAGCCTCTTCAGTAAGTAGTGCTGGTAAAATTGGTTAAACACCTTGTAGAAATCTAAAGCCAGATCTGTATTTATCACCCTGCACCAGAATCTACTCCAAATGGATCAAAGACTTCAAAATAAAAGCAGACACCATATATATATATATATATATATATATATATATATATATATATATGACATATATATAACATATATATATACACACACACACACACACACACACACACACACACACACATATATATATATATATATATATATATATATGAGAATGTCTGCTTCAAGAAGCAGAATGTGGTAGCAAAGGTGGCTGGTCCTCTGGGAAATAAAAGAGGTCATAGTTACTATGATTGCAGATGAAATGTATAAGAGGGCTTTTTTAAAAACTACTCTTTGCAAATATTCTGAAAAGTTATATGCTTGATAGGAAATGTACTCATCATCTTGCTCATATAACGTAACCCCTCTGTACAGTATTTTACAATAAAAACTTCATAAAAATTAATTACAAAAAAAAGAAAAAATGGAAAATTAACTCCTTTTCAAAGTGCTAATAGCTTTAGCTTAGAAGAAAGAGATGAATCATGAAAATCCTTTAATGGTTAAATAAGTTTAAATATCATTTAAAACTTCCCGGGAAGTAACCAATAATCCCAGATGCTGTTACATTCTAAAAGCTTAACGAAAATTGTCTTTACTTACAAACTAATTTTAGCCATGTAACATAATTCAATTTGATACTTAAATAAAACATGCATACTCTAAGAAAAAAAATCAGTGCTTACTGTGTACCCATGCCCACTGTGTGTGTGTGTGTGTGTGTGTGTGTGTATGTGTGTGTGTGTGTGTGTGTGTGTGTGTGTGTGTGTGTGTGTGTGTGTGTATGTGTGTGTGTTTTCCTGGAACTGATGCTTGAACTAAGGGACTGGGCACTGTCCAGAGCTTTGCTTATTTTATTTTTTAAATCAAGACTAGCTCTATATTCTTGTGTCAACTTCCAGCTTTTTGATAGTTAATGGGAACTAAGAGTTTCACAGTTTCCTGTCAGGGTTGGCATTGAAGATGGGATGCTCAAATCACTGCCTTCTAAACAGCTAGGACAATAGGTGTGAGCCTTTGTCCTAGCTTTGTTTCTGAAATTTTAATGTGAACATGTTCATTATATTATATACTCAGAAAACCAAGTTATTCATATTACTGTCATACATTATTTATTGATTTTTTTCATTGAGAATAAATTTCCTTTGTATTCTACTCTCGGCTTCCTGTTTAGGTTACTGGAGTCAATGGAGCTAGCATTCATTAATCCAATGTGATCATTGGGAGCTAACATGATAATGTGAACTTCTAAATCTCAAGTTCCAAGTCTAGTTCCTTTACAAGTATAGGCTGACATATAACCGCTTTAGCTGATGTAGATGATCCTCTAAACTGTTTCCTCTCCTTATTGCCAACTGTTCCTTAGTTACAATCACTTTTATTGATTGCTCTGCAGGTATTCTCTCTTCTGACAGAGCACATGTACATGAGATTTTCCTCTCCCACTTTCTAATTCTTCACCATATAGTTCATGTTCCTTTTTTTTTATAAGACATTTTATATACTCCAGAGCATTCCTTCAGTCTCTATAAATGCTTGTATACCTCAGTTGGTCCTTTGCATTTCTTTATGTGTATAGTAATTACAACCATGAAATGTATAAATCTTAAATCCTTTGTAAATATTAACATGTCAGGACTGGTAATGTTTAGGAATAGTACACATGCACCTATTGGTGGCAAAAAGCACATGAACAAAATTTACCACCTGAATTACTATTTTTTCACTTTGTGAACCATTTTTATTTTATGTTTTTATCATAAAGAAATTGTACAGGAAGAGGCGCTGTAGCTCAAGTGGTACAGCACTGGCTTTGAGCTGAAGAGCTGAGGGACAGCGCCCAGGCCCAGAGTTCAAGCCCCACGACCGACAAAAAAAAAAAAAGAAATTGTACAAAAGTTTTGTTATTTAACAAATCATTTTATGAATACAATATATTACAATATATTCTTGATTAACGTCACCCCTTTCAACAGTCTCATCCATCCTTTTCATATTCAACCTTTCTCTCACTTTTCTTAATTTGATAGTATTATGTACACTGGATTCTTGAGAATAATCTTCCTTAATGGCACAGTTCAAAAGCTTCAAATCTATTTTCATATTCTTTTTAGTTAGACTTTCACAACTGTTTTATCAGGCAAATCTGAAACTGGGAACTCCTTGAAAAGTTTTCCTTTTCATGATTCGCCAAACCACTTGCAACAACAATTCTACTCTCCGGGTCTATGAACTATACGACTATAGATACTTCATATGAATGGAACCCTACCATATTCCTCCATCTGTGCCTGGTGCATTTCACCTAGCTTAATGTCTTAGCGTGAAACAGAATACATTCCTTTGATCATGTGTCCAGAGTTTCCATTTCTCTGGAATAATCAGATATTTAACATTTTCCTTTTTCAAAATGTATTTATCATTACTGTTTTGGTCTCTTTTATTTTTGTTTGCATTCATATTGAGAAAACTACATAAAATATTTTATTGATCCACTCAATATTACTCACAACAAAATAGAATACAATTAAAACAGTGTAGATCTGTGAAGCAGAAGGATAATGTGTCTGTCAGTCAACATGACTAAGATTTATGGTCCAGTGTTATGTGACGGATCTCTAAGTTATTATATGAAAAGTAGAAAATATATGTTTCCACTATCCTCAGGAAGACCATGAATTATCTCTAAACTAAAATAGTTGAATAGTTTCTCCTTCCATCATCCTGTTACCTCACTGCATGCTGCCAATGATGTGTCAGAAAGCACGTGCTCCCCAAGAATCTGTGCAAGGTATATTTTCCTAATGGGAAAATAATGTTGATCTTCACATCGTTTTTACTTACAGATAGCACAAGAAAAATACCTATGCAAACAGGTCATCTTCCAGTTCCAAGGCTTCAGCCTCTTTTCATCTTTTTTATATGATGTTAGAGTAGTTGTATAAAGGGAGTTCACTTCAACATTATGAATTATGAGTAAATTCACATCCTAATCATTGTCATCCCTTCCAACCTTCTCCCCTAGCTCTCCCAACCAACATATCACCCAACTTTCCCAGCTCTATTCTCACATGTATACACTGAACAGTATTACTGTATTTTCCCACCCTTCCTCTGTCCATTTGTCTACCACCCCATTGACATTCCCTACACCCTGACCACACATTCTAGCTTTTTGGTATCCATTTTGTTAAGTGATAAATTAATTTTGGAAGGTGGTACACCCTTATAACCCTCCCCTGTGAATACCATACTTTACTCAGTGTGTGTGTGTGTGTGTGTGGTGTATGTGTGCCTTTCTTGAGGGTATGGTATTTGTTTACCTTCTGTGAAGAACATGCAGTTACTAGGGACTGGGCTGTCTACCTTCCATTTGCTGCTTAGATATTGCTTAAATATCTCCTCATTGCAGTGACCTTTCTTGACTTCTTCATTTATTATTTCTTTTTTTCTATGATCTCTTTACAGATTATTTCTATAGTGATCATTTACATATCATTTTATATTTGTTTCATTATGATTCTTCTCTATATAAAAGCACACTGTTCATTTATTGTTTTTCATATCTATTGCTCTTCTGTAAATTGCTAGCTTTAAGGAATTAGGGACATTTCTGCTGTTGATTCTCTAATACCATGTACCAGTTAGATGCTCAAGAAATAGTTGCCAAATTAATAAATTATACATGTATATATAATATCATATTTTCTGAAATTAATGCAGAAATTGAAATATAATGAAGAACATAATTATATATATATATATATATATATATATATATATACTTAGGTACATAACATATATTTGTATGAGTAGTAATTTTATTATTTACCTTTCCAAAAATGCTTACTCTTTTGGAGTCAATATATGGCTGTTTCAGTAAATATCTGCAACAACAAAATACATATTATGTCTTCTTGAGGCAAATATACATGTAAATTTATGCTTGGCACATACACAAGTAGTAGAAATGGTTTACTGATTATAGCTCTAATTATGCATGATAGTATATTACCGAATCTTACTATTCAAAGTGATGGTCTAGTTATTTTATGTCATATGAGAGATTGTTATAAATTCCAACTTAAATGATTTCCAGGAAGATTGGATTAACATCCATGTTTTGGCTGATTTTTATGTTCCATTGTAAATAATCTACAATCATTGTTTAGTTAACATTGTGAATGTGAAAATAGCCACTGTAAGAGTTAGAATTAGGACTGTGGAATTAATAGATATTATCGATTTCTATAGCTCTATGTTGCAAGTAGTACAAACAAAATAGTCATGTAATCTCTCTAATTTTCATAAATACAAAATAAACCCTAATTCCAGATTATCATTCTTTTATTGTACCACAAAGGAGAATATAGACTGAAAAGAATGTAGTAGAGCTATCTATATCCTTAACTTAGAAAATCACTCAGCTATCCAGAATCCTTTAAGTCAATTATTAGTGTAAGTCATATACCTAGATTCTGTCATTACAGAAAAAATCAATACAACAATGTTCACCGACTTACTTTACAGCTGCTACTTGGTCCTTTACTTCTACTGAACCTAATCTTCGATGAATTTCCTGTAAAATTTTCAGTCCCTGGAATCCACTTCCTCTTCCATCAAATCTTGCCACAATGACATTATCTGTGTCGACAAGGACGGAATCCCAATCAATATGGAACTTATCTGTGACCATCTGGCCTCCTGGTTCCTCATCCCTGCAAACACCAACAAAGGGGTCAAAACCAGAGTAAAGGAAATTTCGTAGAAGTTTCAGTGTTCATATAGATTAGTGAACACATTCACTATTCATGAGCAATCCTGGTCACTGCATTATTTGTAAGAAACATTTTTGATAGTAAATCTAAAGGTAAAAATGCCATTTTCCTTAATAAAACTTTAATAAAAATCCCTGTAGATGAACTAAAAATATGAAGAAAAGTTCACAACAGAGATTATTCTAACACACTTTTCAAAGTGGAACATGTAAATATGTGGTACTTCTAAAGGAATTCTAAACAGTGACTAATACAATAACAGGCCAGTTTTTGTTGTATGTCTTCAAATGTGGTTTAGAAATGTCTTTCAGATAGTTTACAAGGGCTGAAAGCTCCAGCAGACAGCAAATACAATTTTGAAAACTTTATAATAATAGTATACGCACAACCCTAAAGAATGGTGAACTCATAAAGAATTACTTCTTGCATTATTTCCTGAAGGTTTTATTTTATGATTGAATTCTCTGAAAAGGTAAGCAAACAGTGAGAAAAATTATCTTCCAACAATGAAGCTGACAGCAAGGAAAGAAAGGACAGTCATATATAATAGGAAATATATATAAACTGTTTGTAAAGGACACCTAAATTATAAAGCATGAACTTTATAGTTTTTCCATTCACTAGAGGAAAAGGGTAGTGTGATTCTAAAATATCAGATTAAAATGGTGGGTACTTATTATTTTACTTTCTAAAATATTTAAAGGCCAAAAAAGGAAATGCTCATGAAATGACACAGATGATATAGTTCCAAAGTTAGGTAATTCAGTAGGTCCTGATGTATTTGTATTTGAAAAGCATCATAGTACCAAATCTCAAAAAACTCCCATCCTTAAAAGTGCTTCAACAAGAAATTCCCACTGTACCCACCTTTTAAGGTGGGTACTTCTTCTGCCTTCGTATTTATGCAAGACTTTACTTTGAAGCAACATATAGCTTTCATTAAGACTTTTAAGGTACCAAGATTCATGATTGTGTGTGTGAGCGTGAGTATAATTGTGTGTATTTGTGCATGTACTGGGACTTGAATTCAGGACCTGGATACTGTCCCTTAGTTTTTATTCTCTCAAGGCTTCCATTTTACCACTTGAGTCACAGATATATTGCAGGGTTTTGTTTTGTTTTGGTAGTTAATTGGAAATAAAGAGACTCATAAACTTTCCTGCCAAGGCTGGCTTGGAATCAAGATTCTCAGATCTCAGCCTCCTGAATTGCTAGTATTACAAGCATCAGTGTCTAGTTTATGGAATCAAGATTCTCAGATCTCAGCCTCCTGAATTGCTAGTATTACAAGCATCTGTGTCTAGTTTATGGTTCTAAGAATTTTCTGAAGCAAATAACCCATCTCAGAAAGAAATGGAACAGTGCACAGATAGGGCTTTGTAGAGCTAATTACTAAGATAAAGGAGAAAGTATGGAGTAGGACAGAACATTAATCAACTAGAATTTACTCAAGACTTTGGCAAGTTAACTGTTGCATCTCCCCAAAATTCGAATGTTGAATCCCTTACCTTCAATACTTCAAGCGAGACTATACATGGACATAGGAACTTCAAAATGTAAGTGAGGTAAACTCAGGCCACTATGGTGGAGTCTGACCCAACCTGACATTCTTGCCTTGTGAGAGAAGAAATTTGGATATCTAAGCGATATCATAGGTGCCCTTGCTCAGGGAGCTGACTTGTGAAGAGGCAGAAAGAATTATCCAAAGGGAATGGGCACAGAGGAAATCAGCCTTGCTGGACCCTGGATTTCAAACTTCAATCTCTAAAACTGTGCAGAAAAAATAAATTCTCTTCTTTAAAATAGTTAGTCAGACCTGGGTGCTGGTGGTTCACACTGATAATCCTAGCTATCTGGAAGCTGAGATCTGAGGATCGTGGTTTTTAAAGTCAGTTCAGGTAGGAAAATCTGTGAGAAGCTTATCTCCAGTTAACTCCCCAGAAAACCAGAAATAGAGATGTGGCTCAAAGTGGTAGAGCATTAGCCTTGAGCAAAAAGAGATTAGAGACAGTGCCCAGGCCCTGAGTTCAAGCTAACTGACCTACCAAAAAACAAACAACAAACCAAAAAATGAAAAACAAAACAAAAACAAAAAAGTAGACATTAATGTTTAGTTATGCATACGTAATAAACTACTATGAGTGTCTTCACTGTTTTAAGCACTTGAGAGTTGTTGTATCATTTATATTAACAAAATTTAATTAACATTTTGGGAACAATAAATCATCAGTTACATATACTGTCTTAAAAGAAAAAAAATTAAATACATAACATAAAGTTATGTAAGGGAAGGGGTGGTTTGGGAGATGTGAGTGAGAATGTTTAAAAGGGTGCCAGAGATCAAGATGCACTGTATTCATAAACTGCTTTGGTGACTGCCAATTCCTTTGTAAAGCTACTTAAGTAAAAATATTCTAAATAAGGAAATAGATGGTTTATTGAATTAAATACCTTTTTAAGTCCTAATTTTTATTAAATATCACATTTTTCCACAATATTTATATTCTTAGCTTTATTTTTTATATATTTTTTTCTTTTATTGCTGGTCTTGGGACTTGAACTCTGGGCCTGGGTGCTGCCTCTGAACTCTCCAGCTCAAGGCTACCCATCTACCACTTAAGCCACTTAACCACTTTCAGTTTTCTGGTAGTTAACTTGACATAAGAGTCTCATGAACATTCCTGCCCAGGCTGGCTTTGAACTATGATCCTCAGATCTCAGCCTCCTGAGTAGCTAGGATTATAGACATGAGCCACCCAGCTTGTTTAAATTTTTGTAGCTTAACTCTCTATTAAATACTTGTCAAGTTGTTTCTATTTATGTGAATATTATCTACACCAAGATTATAAGAGTTCCATTGAGAATAAAACCTGTGTTATATTTAGTTCCCCAGGAGATACTGGTCTAAACTGTCCAGCATTTAAAATGTATCATTATGCTTAACACATTTTCTGATATATGTAGGACACAGCCAATATCTAATGAGCTGTAACTTTTCAGGGAAATAAAAGATTCAGGCAAAGCTTAAAACAAGAAGACTTCAAAAGACTTCAGTTTACATAAAGCCACTGTTCTTGGAACTTGGGGAATTACAGCAAATATTATGGTTCAACAAGATAACAAAGATCAAGTTCAACCTTTCATGCTAAGCTCTAAAAATACCAGAGCTAGAATTTCAACTACACTCTGAACATGACAAGATACTGCACTCCTAAGACTCTGTGTCTTCATCAATGATGATGATAGAATTCTCAGCTGTATTCCCCCTGATGGTTAACCTTCAGTGTCAACTTGATTAAAATAATAAATGGCTAGAAGATTAGCAAAATATCCCTTTGAGTATATCTGTCAGAGATTTTCTGATGAAATTGATTATTATGTCTCTGAGCTAAAGGTTTGTTTAATTCATTGGTAAATTTGAAGTCTGTATTAACTATTGGAAGATGGTAGAACTCTGAAAGATGGGCTCTGGCTGAAAGTCCTAAGTCACTGAAAATGAATGCTTAGGGAATTTATGGTATAGAGGTACTTTCCTTTCCTGTTACAGCCATAACCTGCTTCCCATCAACTATGATGTAAGCTGCTTGTTTCTGCCTCCTTACTACATAAGATGCACAATTTCTCCTTCTATCACAGGCTCTGGCCACCATCATAAACAGCCTCATCACATGCCTAGAAACAAGGAACCAAGAAACCATAGAAGGAGCCTTCTAAACCATGAGCCAAAATAAATATGTCTGCCTTTAAGCAGTTTATGTCAGGCATTTTGTCATGTTACATATGTCTAAATAATATACATTCAAAGAGATTTTTCTTCAGCCTAAGTGACATAACGCATAAGAAAATAATTCATGAAACGTAATGTGCAAGATCATTTTCAGATGGAACTATAAAAAGTACTGTAGGAACATTATTGTTATTCTAGTTGAAACCAAGATGACTATGTTGAGTATATTTCTTTACAGTTCAAAGGTGCAAATTGCATAAAGAATTTTGGCTTACTATGCAGAAATGAAGCTCGACAATATCTGTGGTTAAAACATAAACTGTTGTATGAACTATTGTGTTTCAGAGGTCCCTAATTACATCTAAAGCCTTATAAATATATAAAATATGCAATCAATAGTCTCTCTTAAGTAATTAGAGAAATGTTAATAGCTCTGATTAAGACAAGATAACTCAGCCTTTAACCTTGTCAGCAGTAATGCTGAGGTGGTGTAAAATGATTGGTGTATTAAAAAGACATAATTTTCCATTTTTATGTATAATTCATTATATTATTTACAGTTATTTTAAGAAGTAGCAGCTAAGCTTAGCCTACATGTTAATAAATATGGAATTATATGGCAAACAAAATATTTTAAAACATAGCTTAAAATATGGTACATGTTTCAAAATTACAATTGCTAAGTGGTTACAAATATTTCAAAACAAAGACCTATAGTCTCCTACTCATATAATGTATGTCCTAAGAATAGGTAAGGACAAAAATACAATTTCCCCCTTTATTTGTCTCTGTAAATTGCCATTTTTAGCTCTAAATTTGTATTTCAAGGATTTTGATATTAGATGCCCATGTAGAATGGGTATATTATGAAACATGATTCTTGAAAGCATTTTTCTGACTTGTTTTCTGTTCTGCCATTCTTGTGTAACTATTTCAAGATGAGTTTACAAGAACAGATATTTGAACACCAAGTGTTATCATTAAGAAGGAGGTTGGGCACTTCAAGAAGTGTTGGAACAAAAAAACTGGATTTGAAAATAAAGTCAATCAAATAGTACTAATTAAAGGAATTTGGTGTAGCCAATACATTGACTGGTTTAATGATCATAAGGAAGGTATTACTAATGGAATTGTCTACCACCTAACAAATGGGAAGCAAAAGGCAAGTCCAAATTAGCCATAAGGGATATTTGGGAGGATCTCTGAGCTTCAG